AAAAAATGAAGGCTACATTACCTGAGTGAGTTGTAATCTTATTTCTTCAACAATAGTTTCATATTTCTTACGATTTTGGTGTTGTATAGACGTATTGTAGCCTTGTTGGTTGTTTGTTTTGGCCATACAAACTACGACAATAATACAAAGTCAAAGGTTTCCTTTTTCGATTGACTCCAGGACCTTTTGCTTTAAATATCATGTTATATATTCTCAGAAGTATTTTTTTTAACTTTCAAGCTCAGTTTTATAGCTACTACTTTCGAAAAAAGCCGTAATATTCACGAAAAAAAGCTGCCATAGCCGACAGCAAAAAAACATTTTGTCAATTTTCCCGCGTTTTTCCCCGTTTCCTAGGATACGAGGCCTCATCACGATTTATGAATAAGGTCTATTCAACAAAACTTTTTTGTCTGGGTTTAAATTTCAATTAAAGTTCTTATGTCATGGTGCATAAAATAAAAAATTTGCCACAATTAACTAATTGTCCGCTCAATGGCAAATCAGACTGCCCGCGCTCAACGGCAAATTAATTCCATAAAAGTAATTTAATCCACCAAGCCACCGTACTTTGAACAGCAGCAGTGCATGCATTCTCAATTCTCATGCAGACTAAGTCCATACGCGCGGGAATTGAAAATAAGTATACTCTATGAAGTGGTCAATTATAAAATATGCGCGAAAGCTTCGAACAGTTGTGGCAAGTTTTGTAATTTATGCACTACAGAAGAATTTACGCCCGTATTCTAAAGCTCACTCACACTCAATGGGTAGAAGTTCAATCTGAGTTTCTCTTCAGTGTCAATGCCGTTTTTGAATATCTGGAGGGTGAATAGTCACATATATATAGTAAGGTACGACCCTAACTCTCCAGCTGTTCAAAATCAGAATTGACACAGTCATAATATTTTTTTCATTGTTTATCCAGAATATTCGCATCATATGAAATTATTTTTAAGCTTATACCGATTTAAACTTTGACTGAACAGCTTGCACAAGACGAGTCGTCGAACCGCCACATATTGACACTTACCGCAGGTCAGTCGACAAGTCAGCATACTAAAAACGCTCTATCTCAGCCAAAAATTAACATATCTTTTAAATATTATTTTTCATTCTACCTGATAAATTACACATTATTTAAAAAAATAGGTACGCACTGCGTACATGTTGCATGCCTTAGAAACGTTCAGGCCGATTTCGGCCATTCAGTGCATTGAGTGCAAAATATCGCGAGATCAACTTTTTGCGATCACTTTCGTTTAAAATGCGTTCAGTCAACCTGATCCGTTACGTTTGATTGCTTGTATTTTAAAAGAAAGTGATCGTAAAAATGTAAAATGTCGATCGCACGACATATTGCACTGAATGGAAATCGATATCCGCCTTTAAGGTGCGCAAGCGCTTATAAATTTTGGTACAACTGGCCTGAAACTTACCATATTCATTCAATAAGTTTAATATCTATATGTGTGTTGAAAAATAGCTATTATGTCAAAATAAGAAAACGTAAGATTCTCATACGAATAGGCAATGTTTTTATGAGCGACTGTTCATCTGCATGCAGTTGCCAGGGACTGTAATAACAAGGTCAACTGCTCAAGGTCACTGATTGACTATTGGAAGTAAACAATGTTAATACAGTAATACTCTCCTACAAATTTAAACAAATTTAGCTTTATTATTGAAAGTATAAAAACCCGTGGAAACAGTGAACTACTATAATAGATTGAAAATAATTATTAAACTATGATCTCGACTATGATTGAAATTATCAAAGTAGCCCGCGTCAAAGATTAGATACTATAAAGATGTGTCACTCGACGTATTTCCCTAATGTTTGCGTGTCCGTAATTTTCACTTACTGCCAAAATGGCGGCGAGACTGATGGCGTTGAATTTTACTATTTAAGAGACTGATGGCGTTGAATTTGACACTTACTGACAAAATGGCGGCTATAAAAAAATCTCGGACATAATTTTCGCAGAGTGACACATCTTTATAGTATCTAATCTTTGCCCGCGTGCAGGCCCAAGGGAACTGATAGTGGGCCTGCAAGCAAGGTCCGGTATTTTGTAAAACGCCTCTTTTCATAACACGCCCAATTCCCGCGTCAATTGTAAAAAAAGAACCAATGACAGCAACCAAATATTAACAAACAAACTCGCATTAAAATGTTGCGGGGTTTTCTCTGCTTATTCAGAACATAAACTGATGGGTAAATGGCTGCGTTTTAACTCCAAAAAAGTCAGTAATTGCCAAATTTGCAAGTGCTCATTTTCAACTACAATCGGAACAGGCAAGTTAGGACGAATTTGAACAGAAAACCAGTCTCAAACTTCAAATCGTGAGGGAAGTCGTGCGACCACATTAGCATTTATAATGAGTGCTTCTCTGTCGCCATTGTTACTCGCTGGGGCACTCTGTGCCCCAGACGAGTATAGGTTTCGGCATGCATTTTTCTCCAACTGTCAATAGCCACAAAATAGAATATTAATGAGCTGCCTAATTTTCCCCCAATTATCCATAAGTCTCCTGCCGATTTTACCCAAATTATCCATAAATAGCCCTCCATTTTGAGGAAAATTCGGGAAAATTGAACAATTTTACAAGGAATTTCGCATGGAAACAGCAACCTTCGCAAATCGCAAGTTTATAAAAGTTTTAATATGTACGTTTGACTGTGCTGCTTTATATTTTGAGAAGAAAGCGACACCGTTCGATTCACAGGCGGCCCAGACGTGTATCAGTGTATAGTAAATATATCATTATAAAATATACCTCTGAGAATATACTAAACAATAAAATTTGTAATGAATTTTATATTTTAAAATCATATTTACTTGCCTACTTTGATTGTATGTGGTCGTCTTTTATTTTTACATTCGATGCCTGCGACTGTCTTCATAGGTGATAGTATTGAAAGCAAAGGCTAACGATTCCAGTTCTCAAACAGCCGACACGAACAATTCAAATCGAAAAATATCCTCTTTAAATTGCTTTGTTCCCGGTAAAACTTCGCCAGCGTATAGAATAAACACCCATCGGTAGTAAAAGACCCCCATATAGCAACGGAAGTAATTAGTATGCAATCTTAGGTGTCGAAATTAATTAGTATGCAAAATCTATGACGTCATTTTGTTCAGCTAAAACTCTGGCGGAATTTATAATTAGCTTGCAAAATCTATGACGACAGGTAGCGCGACCAATTAACGCGGGCAGGCCTGGGCCAAATGTGGCAGGCGATCGATTAGCATCACAACTAGTTTCTGACAAATTTGCAATAAAACGACAAGAGGTTTCTCATAGTTTGCATGTATAAAAGTATGAAATAGAAGTTAGTTTTCTAAAACCTACCGTTAGCTCAGTTGGTAGAGCAAAGGACTGTAGTTATTACCAAATCAGTATTCCTTAGGTCACCGGTTCGAACCCGGTACGGTAGAAAAATTTTTGCCTTACAACCATGTAACAACGTTGTGAGTCCCTCTCTTATCTTCAACACGCAATTGAAATTCGTTTTAATTTTGATGACTCGTTTTGAGCAATAAGTTTCCAAACAGAAATAAAAAGTATCGCAACAAAAATAAGCAGTTGCTAATCCCATGTTGTCAAAGCCGTTGTTATGATCGCTATTTGCATGTTGTTCAACATTATTTAGCAAACCTTATACATATATACGGTCAAGATGACGGAGTCAGATAGAATACTTGAAGGAAAAAACCTGTAGAACAATTTAACAGTCTTAGTTGTAATATTTTTTCTCTATTATTTGTATCAATAAACATGTTTTAAACTAATTTGCTGCGTTGTTATGCGTTGCTAAGTCAAAAGGCGTGTAGGTAATTAAGGGGATTAAGGTAATACGAATTTGCATAACTAAGTGTATTCCGATGGATAGATGGGGATTATTTTTAACGCCGGTGTATACCTTAAAATCACGCGCGTGGCTTTGCGGGTGCATGCATATATTAAAGTACAACATATTTGTACATGGATCTTTTTGCGCGGGCGGAAAGAGCGGGCTTTGCGGGCAAAAATTTGCACAATATTTCAGTTTTAGAATTGTCTGAACAAAATCATATTATTGACACAAATAAACAAGAGCTGTGCCGATTAGGAAACGAGAATTTGAATTTAAAGTCACGCATTACCGACCTAGAGGAGAAAATAATGATTAAAGACTTGGCTTCCATAACCTTTTCAAGTCCCTCAAAGCCATCTTTACAAGATAAGAAGTCCTTTAACAGTCCTGACAATGTAAATTCCCAACACGATGGATCAACTAAAATAAATCACCCATCTGGTGCATTATCAACCCCAGTTAATGTAGATAACCTGCCCGCTGAGGAAAGTTTCCCTACAGTTATCATTGAAATAAAGAACAATGCCCTATTATCCACACAACAATCTAAGACTACAATCAACTCCTTCAAAAAAGATTACTCATTAAGCCTGAACCGCGAGCCTTTTCAGGCTAAGAATGTTTTAAACTATTTGCCCTTATGCGAAGATCTAAGTATAATCGAAGATGTTTCTGCAAACCTCACTTTTGACGAAAATGAATTAGATCAGCGTGAGCAGGATTTATCCGATGGGTGTCAACATTTCAAGCAACGTGGGAAGCAAGGCATATGTAGGAATTGCGACCGATCCTATGCAAAAACCGTGTTAAGCCTTGATGCCCTTAACCCTGACCAGGTGAATCCCCGATCGGATAGGTCAATCAGCGAGTCAAATCTAAAGCATTCTTCGTCCCCTCATCTTCCAGCCTCGAGACCCTCAAGTCTTAGACACGGTCAAGTTACAAACCCCTTAGGGTTTCGAAGGCACCATTGTAGCCGGTATCCTTTTTTAAAACGTTGTCGTGTCATTCCTTCGTATCGGACAGCCCACCGCCACCACTCTCTAGAGTGGTTGGCCCATCTCCACTCAGTGGCCTGTTTGACGAGTCAGCAGCAGACAATATGATGAAAATACCTGTTAGAATCACTTCACGTCAGAGACCATCACGTCAGAGACTATCATATCAACTAACCATTAATAATTCTTCTAGTGTTAACAATAACTTGCAAAATAGAAATCTTGTTCGTGTTCCTTTGTCCAACCCTGCCCCTCCAAACGTTTCCGCACTCTCGTGGTCACTCACGTCGAAAACCACTAATGATACGGCCTCAGCCCATTTAACAAAAGAGTCAGATAACAGCCTCAGTACCCTTCCAGGTCTCAAACTGGTCCACCTAAACATCCGCTCTCTGAAAAATAACGCCCATTTTTTAGAATTACGTAAGTTCACCAAATTTAACAAAATTGACGTCCTTACAGTATCAGAGACATGGTTAAATACCTCCGTCACAAACAAGGAAATAGAAATCGAAGGTTATAAGCTACATCGTTTAGACCGACTGCACAAGAAAGGGGGCGGGGTATGTGCTTACATACGAAAAGATATTAAATCTCTTGTACTTAAAGACCTCAGTTATATCTCCGAGACGAATTTCCATCAATTATGGATCAAATTACAGCACAAAAAATCTAAATCACTGTTGGTCTGTGTCTCTTATCGACCCCCAGACAGCCCGCTTGACTGCTTCGAAAAATATTTTAAACCTAATTATGTTCATGCTCTGACGATGGGAAAGTTGATCATTCTTCTTGGAGACCTAAACTGCGATATGCTTAAGCCCACACCTGGATCAGCGTCTTTGATCAAGACGACAAAAGAACTCAACCTTAACCAGTTAATAAAATCACCAACAAAAATTACTGAATCCAGTCAGACCCTCGTCGACGTTATTTTCGTATCCTCGCCAAGACTAGTAGTCAACAGCGGCGTCATAGAAACCTGTATCAGCGATCATTTCCCTGTGTATGTATCACTAAAACTTAAAACCGACAAATCTCCACCAAACTATATCACTACCCGCAGCTACAATAAATACGACCCTGATCTGTTCGCGATCGATCTGGCATCCAACCGTGATCGTCTTGTTTCCATTTTCAGAATGGACAATGTTGATGAAAAACTAACCATTTTTAATGAAATATTTTTAAATACATTGGATAAACACGCCCCAGTAAAGACCATAAAAGTACGCGGAAAATCTTGCCCATTTATCACCCCGGAAATAAAAGCATCCATGATCAAAGAGACCAGCTCCACAGTCTTTTCAGGAAAACACGTGATCATTATGATTGGCTTAATTTCAGAGAGGCCCGCAATTTTACAAAAACCGCACTTGTTAATGCACAGAAAGAATATGTACTCAAGGAAGTTCAGCAACACAGAAACAATACTGGGTCACTTTGGAAGGTAATTAAAGAAAATATAGCGTATAGGGAAAGAGAGTCGGTGGTCTACAGTAAGGAACCGAAATTAGTGGCCGAAGAGTTTAATCATTTCTTTTCCACCATTGGTGTGAATGCTGCAAAGAAAGCCTCAACACTAATACAAGATCCTAGTGTTTATCTAGCTCGGAATCTTTCTGACGTAAATCGCACAGATAACAGCTACCCTGAAGAAAATTATAGATTTAGTTTCACCCCAGTCTCTTGTTCAGAAATAAGGAACATCATATTAGCTATGCCGTCAAACAAATCACCCGGCAAAGACAAAGTGAGTATGCGTGTCATCAAACACAGCCTACCGGTAATTCTTGGGCCCCTCACCGATATCATTAACTGTTCACTGACGTTATCTTCGTTCCCTATAGCATGGAAAGAGGCAGAAGTTATCCCTTTGTTAAAGGATGGAAACCACGAGGAAGCATCAAATAACCGCCCACTTTCTCTCCTTACCTTTCTTTCGAAAATTTGTGAAAAAGTCGCCTTGAATCAGTTTGGTTCGTATCTAATAAAGAACAAAAAATTGTCAACCCACCAGAGCGGGAACAAGAAACA